GAAAAATGAGACACAGAAAGGTGAAGTAACTTGTTCAAATTACTTAGCTCATAAGAGATGGAGTCTGGGTTCAAACCCCAGGACTCTGGAGGCAGAGTCTGTGCTCTTAATTACTTATTGAGCAGCAACTGTTCCCCCAAGTACTGTACCATGTGGTTTAAAAACAAAAACAAAAACGTGTCTGCATTCTTTCACCAGCCCCAATGCACGGGTGGGAAAACGGGAAACTTTAAAAAGGGACCGTTTGTACCAAAGTCACACGGTTAGGAGAGACAGAGCCTGCATCAGATTCCAGGTCTCTCCAACTATAGATAGAGTCGCCGTGCCCTTAAAAGCTCAGCTGCGGCTTATTTGCCCTGCATTCCACAATTACCGGACACCCAGTACTGTATTTCGCATTGGAGATACGGCTGTGAACAAGACAAAGAAGGTCCCCCTGTTCACGGAGCTCACATTTGTAGCATAGGAAAAGGAAGACACAAACTTACAAACAAGGAAAGATGAGGACAGATTGTGACAGGGGCTCTGAAGGAACAGGAGAATGAAGAGAGATGTGGAGGATTAGGGAATACTCCCTAGATTGGGGGTGGGGGAGTGGGGTCAGGAAGACCTCTCTAAGGAGGTGACATATGAATTGAGAACTGAGGGGAGAGAAAGAGCCAGGCAGAGGGAGCAGCGGGTACAAAGGCCCTGGGGTGTGGAAATAAGTCTGGTGAGTTTAAAGCAAAAAGCAGAGCAGTGTGGCTGGAGAGAAGAATGGGGAAGGAAGTTTGAGTGATAAGAAATGAGGCCAGAGGGGTTGGTGGGAGGCAGATCACGCGTGTCCCCTCCCTGGAGACAGAGATGGGAGGGTTTGGGGAGGGTCTTGATGAAGCTGGTCTGGCCAATGGGTTTATGGGAAGAAGACCCTGCAGGGCCTGGAACGCCAGACTGAGGGGCTGGGACCTTGTCCCAGTGCCACTAGGGAGCCATGGGAGGGCTTTGAGCAGAGGAGAGAGGGGGTCAGCTCTGGGCATAGAAAGACCAAGTGGGGGACAGCCTCACATTTGAAGCTGGGATGGAGGCTGGCAAGAGGATCTAGAACAAAGCATGAACAGAAGGCAAGGCACAGGGTGTGGGGTGTGGGGCAGGAGGGATGGGGCTCTGGGGGGCCAAGGGAGTGGGCGAGGACGGCACCTGGAGACTCAACCCAGCCCTCTGCTCCCACCAAGCTGGAGAAGGGCAACCTTCGGGTGAAGCAGCTGAAGCGGCAGCTGGAAGAAGCTGAGGAGGAGGCGTCCCGGGCTCAGTCAGTCCGCCGGAGGCTGCAGCATGAGCTGGAAGATGTCACCGAGGCCTCGGAGTCCATGAACCGCGAGTTGAACACGCTGAGGAACCGGCTCCGGTACAGCCAGCCTGTGCATGCGCACCCTTGCTCCATAGACCCCGCCCCCCAGCACTCTCTGCCCCCGCCCCTCCTTTAACCTCTATCTCTTGGTCTCCCCTTCTCCCTGCAGACGCGGCCCCCTCACCTTCACCACCCGCACAGTGCGCCAGGTCTTCCGACTGGAGGAGAACGTGGTCTCGGAAGAGGAGGCCGAGGAGGCGGAGCCTGGGGCTGGGCCGCCACCCCCGGAGCCTGATGGGCCGCCGGTGTCCCAGCCCCAGTGACACCATCCTGTCCCCAGCCATGGCCCCTCCCTCCCTGGCCCCTCGATGCTCCAGTCCCAGGAACCCTCCCTCCGGCTTCTTGCACTTTGGAAATGGTGCCACCCTCTGGCACTACAGCACTTACCAACCCCATGGTGGGGGGGAGCGGGGGCGCTGAGATCTCCTGTGAACCCCTAAACACAGAGGAGCAGACGAGCAGGGAGACGAGGACTGGGGCCCTCGCTAGGAAGGAGATCCAAGTGTAGTTGGCAAGCTGTGGTCCCGAAGGGCTCCCCTCTATCCTTAATTGTTAGCAAGGGAACATGGCTCCCCTGCCCTCCGAAGCTAGGGTTCCCATTCCCTTACCCCTCTCCCTCTCTTCCTCTCTCTCCACTTAGCCACTGACCCCTGAACTTCTGATCGACAACAGCCTGAGCCCCAGGTCTCCACCAGCCTTTGACCCTTGCAGAGGGGCAGGATAAGGGGACCCCTCTCTCCTCACCTTCCCCCCCCCCCATGCTCTGCCCTCCTTTCTGGTTGCTCTTGTGTGATCACAATTCGGTTGGATTTTCCTGCGGGGGCTGGAGGAGGCCCCCATATCCTCCCAGCGTCTAGGCTCTCGCAGAAATAAACTCCAACCCCAGCCGGACCTCCATGGGTCTGTAGTGTGTTCCTGCTCAGGGATCTCTGATGGGGCAGCAGGTGGGGCAGTCTGCTGGTTCGAATCACAGCCGACCAGTGTTGGGAGCCTCCGGGGTACCGGCATCTAATGTGGAAAAACTCATTTCAGCCTCCTTCCCAGGTATTCGCTCCATTATACAGATGGGGAAACAGACTGAGCTGTGCTGTCCCTTGCTCCAAGCCTCCCAGTAAGTGGCAGAAGGGATGCGGCACTCTGGCTGACCCTCATGTCTTTGCAAAACAGTGACAGAGTGACTGTTGAGCCACCTGTTGAGTAGTGATCCTTTGTTTAACTGAACATGGGCTAAACGTGGGACACTCGTCTCGACCTTCAACACAACCCCTAGAGGTAGGGATTCCATTGCTTTCCAGCACCTAGAATAGTGCCTGGCATTTAGTTGGAATTCATGTATTTGCTGAATGAATAGACCACCCCCTCCTGCCCTGTTAGAGTGGTAGAAACAAGCCCGAGAGGTTGAGAGACTTGCCCAAGAACACACAGCTACCAAGAAGTTGAACCCACACAGTCTGCTTCAGAGTGGGCGATATGGAGCATGTGACCCTCGGCCCCTAACCTCTTACTGTAGACCTAGCTCCACTCCTCTTCTGGGGTTGTCACCCTCACCTCAGAGCTCCTATTACCAGGTGCCCTCAGAGTTTCAAGTTAGGGGTGTGGATCCCCATTTTTACCATCAGGGAAACTGAGGCAGTCACTTCTTTCCCCCCCCCCCACCAACCCCCCGAAAAGTCACAAGGCGAGAGCCGGCGATCAGGGGGATGTCTGGACCCCCTGAAGTGCACACCCTTGCTCATTTAATATGACCCCTGTTCTTGAAGACCCAACTCCTCTGCTCCCAAAACTCTCACCCCGCCCCAGATCCGGAGACCTTCCCAGCAAACAGGATGCAACTTTTAAATGAAAAGGAAACTTTTATTTTGGTGGGAAGTGAGAGGGTGGGGGGGAAGGGGGCATGACACTTTTTCTTTGGGGAGGGCAGGTGACATGCGGCAGCTTCTGCATTGGGCGGTTCATGCACCCAGGGTGGGCGTGGGGGAGACTTGGGGGAGGGGCCATGCCGACCCCTCCCTCCCTGCCCTGGGGGTGGGCTGAGAAGACCCGCCATTAGCACCAGAGTTGGACGATTTGCAGACCTCCCCTCCCCACACTGACTCCGGACACCCGCCCCCATCCCTGAGAGCGCCCCCTCACCACTCCTCCCACCTCCCACTTCGACAGGCCAGGCCCGCCCCGCCCACATTTGAGTGAGAAAATCTTATTGCTGTGTGTGTGATGGGGAGGAGGAGCCGCTGAACTCAGGAAGACCCCCGCCGTTCGTTCCTCCCCAATCGCCCCGCCCCCCGCCCCGTGTCCGTGCGTTCCCGGAGCGCAGGAGGGGCGCGACATGCGTGTGGGGAGCGCGTCATGCAGCGCATGCGTGTAGTTGCAGGCACCCTGGCGGCCGGGGAGAAAAGGGGAGCGGGACTTGGAAGTTGTCCCTTTAGCTCTCGCTCTTCCTCCCCGAATCCCACACTGTTGACTTGGGGGATGGGGGCGGTGGTGAAGGACGTGTCACGTTCTGTAAAGGTTTATGATTGTGATTATTTTTAAAAGCTGAACTAAAAAGCTGGGTACGTGTGGCAGATTGGCGAGCAGGGGGAGACGTTGGGAAGAGGTCTGTACCCTTCGGAAAAATCCTCACCCCCTTTCCCCTCACTGTTCGGCTTCCGTGAGGGTCAGGGGAATCTGGGGGCTATTTTTTTTTTTAAGTAGTTAAACCCTTTGGCAATATAATCAGTCCCCACCCCAATACCCTGGTGTCTGGAGCCCCTAGCCCTTTGCCTCGCCCCACCCCGCTCCCACCAGAACCTGCCCCACCCCTCACCCCTGATTCGCCAGGGTTTAGGGTCCGAGGGAAGGATGGGGGGGACTCAGAATGTCCCTTGCATAGGAATCGTTGCATCAAGAATCGTGCTCAGTGACACCCCCCAACCCTCGGGTGGGTGGGGGGTTCCTGAGGCCGTGGGAGCAGAGGGAGGGAGGTTGCTAATTCCGTGGGCCTCCAGCTCCAAAAGGGGAGGTCCCCTCTAAGGATTCTGGGACCGGTGTGGTCTCTGGGCTTGGGGGAGGTAGCGCATCCTTGAGCCAGGATGGGATATGAGAAATGATCTTCCACCCGCGAGCATGGCGGGACGAGGAATGCTGGGGAAGGGTGGGCTGGGGTCCCAGCCGCGGTAGGTTTTGTCGTTTCCCAAGCTTCTGATGTTCCAGCGTCCCTTGACGGGGGCACAGCCTCTGCTGTAAGTGGAAACACTCTACCCTAAATAAACGGTGTCTGGGCCAGGCAGCAGTATCTGGACTTACCGGCTTCTGTGCAAGATGCCATAACAGACAAAACTTTTTAGATTAAGTGTCCTTGTACTGCCTAAAACCTTAGCACATCACCGGGGGTCCAAATATTCCCCTTCTGGGAAACACTGATGTCCATTAAGAGGGTCCCTTTGGGGCACCATTTAAGGGGAGGAGCTCTTGGAAGAGGCAGGGCTAGGCATAAGAAAGGGGATGCCGGGGGTGGGGGGGCGGGCAGGGGGGAAGGTCTGGTTCCCTGGAATTGCAGACAGGTTGAGCCTATCTTGGAACTTCTAGCATCAGGAGAACCTGAGGTGGATGTCTGATGTCAGAGATTTGGGGATATTTGGAGGGGGGTAGGCCTGAGGATTTGGTGGTGTCCAAGAAATGTCCAAGTGTGGGAAGGATCTGGAGCATCCCAAAGGCTGAAAGTGAGCTGAAGGGCTGGGTTAAGTCTTGGAGATTTGAGGTGCTGGGATGCAGTCCAGGCAATGGGTGGGGCGGGGCTTGGGGGCAGCATCTGTATGCAGAGGTTAAGTCCCAGGACCCTGTGGCGATTTAGGGGATGCGGGGTGCCAGGGTTGGTCTCAGGAATTCTGGGTGCAGGCCTCATGTCCTGGTAATCTGGAGGGGGTGTTGGGGAATTTTGTGTGCTAGGGCCAGATCATCCCAGAAATTCTGAGATGGGAGGTCTGAGTCCATGCAGCAAGAATAGAGGCGAGCAGATCCCTTGGGGGGGGTGGTCCGGGGAGGGATGAAAGGGTCACATCCACCAGAGGGATCCTCCTAAAGGCTGAGGGAGCAGCTGTCCACAGCACACGCCCTGTGCCTCTGCTTCTACCATCTGAGCTCAGCTCGTTTTTGGGGCTTGAGTTGACTGTTCCTCCTTACCCCGCATTGTTGCTAATATATATATATTTTTTACATCAATGTGATGGGTTGCCCTCCTGGGGTGAAGGGTAGGAGGCTAGGATACCCTCGCGTGGCTTAAAAGCCAGCCCGACTCCCTTGACGTCCCCGCCCCCTTCCCAGAATGCCCCTTCCCTCAATCGCGTGGCATGCAGCCCCTGGCGGCTTATTGCTGAGGTGGACTTGGGGGCGGGGTCCAGGTTGAGGGAGGCATGCAGAGTAGGGGAGAGGCGCCCCAAAATGTAATTGGCATAATTTGGACTTATTTACAGGAGTTTATGGGAGCGGGAATTCCTATGGCTCATGGAGACCTGAGAAGGCTTTATTTGGGGGTGGGGGAGTGGAGAGTTGGGGGGGCTGGACTTTGGCTCCTCCCCCTCCATCCTGGGGGCCCAGGTGGGGGTGAGGGGTCCGGGGGTGTCTGCTGGCGTCGTCGTCTCGGTTGCATATTATTAATGACTTTTTGATTTAAAAAAAAAAACCCTTTCCCCCACCCCCCACCCCCAGCTCCTTTGACCTTCTTCCCTGTCACCCCCGAGTCCCCCCACGGGGGGGAGGGGAGCGCTAGAGGATGGAGGGCAGGGTTGGGGGAGCGCGGCGGGCGGCCCTGGGAGAGCCAGGGGGAGTGGCAAGGGGCGCCAGGCGCAGGGACACCCCGCTCAGGCCCGCGATGCTGCTCAGGCTGCGGGATTTCTCGTAACCTGGGGGGGGGGGAGGGGTCAGAAACACGGGAGGAAGCATGGAGATGGGGGTGCAGGGAAAGGGTCCAACAGGGATGCCGGGGAGAAACGGCCAGAAGGGATAAGAGACGGAGAAAGAGAGAGAGAGACAGAGAGACAGGAAAAGTCAAGAGACAGAAAGAGGTTAAGCAGAGGGTCAGGGATAGAGACGGTGAGGGAGACACAGGGGATGAGAGACGAGACAGTCAGGCACCGAGACATAACAAGACAGATGGCAGAGGCAGAGAGATGGACAGAGGCGGACCAAGGAGATGGAGAGAGAGGTGAACAAATTGGACAGTCAGCATCAAGGAGAAAGGTTCAGACATGGGGAGGGGGGAAGAGACCCAGGGTTAGGAGGCAGAGTGGCGCCCACCGAGCCTCCCTCACCCCACCCCCGCCGCAGCCCGCCCCCCACTTCCCCTCCCCCTCCCCCGTTGGCCCCCTTATCTGAGGCAAAAAGGTGGGGGGGGCAGCGAGGCGGATGGTGGGCAGCACGGGCATGGGGAGGGAGCTCGGGCATGGGGAGGGAGCTCGGTGGAATGCATGTAGGGGGAGCAGCCAGTGGGAGGGCTCGGTGGGGGCTGACCTAGTTGTGGGGAAAGGGTGAAAGGCAGGAGATGGGGCTGTGGGGGGGGGCAAGGAGGAAAAGCTAGCAGTGCCCCCCGGAGGGGCTAGAGAGCAGTCTGAGAGGGGCAAGGCTCACCTGAAGGTTGTAATGGGGTATTTAAAGGGTCATGAAGTCTTGAGGTGGAAACCTTCTGATGGGAAGGGGAAGGTTCTAACAGTGTCTTGATAGCCAAAGGGGTCTAAGACTGGGGAGTATGTGTGTGGTTTCTTGGGAAAGCTTGGGAAGATCTGAGTTCTGCCAGTGTCTGGGGGAAGTTCTAGTGCTTCTCTAAGCGATGCCAAGAGGTCTGTCTGGATAAGGGCGTCTTGACCAGAGGAGAGGGGGCCTGGGGGGTGGGGGTTGGAAGCCCAGCATCTTGGGGACACCCCCTCCCAGCCATTCCCAATTGCTAACCTGGGGGGAAGGGGCAGGGGGGGACCGAGGGTCTCGCGAGGTCTCAGGCGGTGACAAGAGCTGGGGACAGAAATACACAGAGTCACGGCGGGGGGAGGGTGGTCGGGGGAACCCCCCAACACAGCCTCACTGTTGGGGGGACGGAGAAACGCCGGAATCTCTTCTTCCTCTCTGGTGTTTTCCGGGGGAAGGGGAGCAGTGAAATGGGGGCGGCCAAAGACATCAAATATGGAAGGAGCTTCCGGGGTGGCTGGGGGTGGGGGGGGAGGGGGGGAGGAGGACCAAGGAAGGGAGGTGGGGGGAGGGTTGGGGAAGAAGGGGAAACAGGTGTCAGGTGTTGGACTCAGGAGGTTGGTGTGAGAAGAAGGGAAGGGTCATGGGGTGGGCAAGGGGCGGGCTAGGGGGAAGGGTCTTGGGAGAAGGAATGGGGGGACAGTAGTGGAAGGGGGGGTCACCCAGGAAGGACAGAGAGAAAGGGAGGAGCTTGGGAGTGCAGGAATGGGGAGGGATCCAGGACCCAGGGGCAGAGAACTCAGTCAGCCCCATCAGCTCCAGCCATTATTTGAGTTCAGTGAATGGATTTTGGCATCAGAGGCAAGAGCAGCGAAGACCTCCACCCACCCCACCCCCACTCCACCCTCCCTTCCATTCCCAAACCCTCCCCACTCCCTCTGCCCCTCAATTCCCTGGGGGCCCATCTAGATCTGGGGCGGAACGAAGGGTGGAACGGGACTGGGTGCAAGCAGGGGGAGGGGTGAGGTGGGAGCAGGGAAGGGGGGGATGAGATGAAAATGGAGGATGAATTGGGGCGGATGGAGGGATGGAGTGAGAAGAGCCACAGTCCCTCCTGGACTAGGAGCCTGGAAGCCTGGGTTCTCGTCCCTGTCTGCTCTGTGGACGGGGTTGCTCATGGCCCCCCTGAACTTCTGTGAAACAAGGGGCGTGAGACAAGGGTGTCCCTGCAGGCTGCAGACAGGGACTCTTTGGGCTATATCTCTGTATTTCTAAAGAAGGTTCCCCAGATGGTTGCTGAGGGATTAGGTGATAGATAGGTCAAGTGCCTTCAGGCAGCTTCCTGTCACTTTGAAGATCAAATCCAGCCTCTCACCAAAACCCCTCATGATCCTTCCCCTGCATACTCTGTCTGACACCCCCCTCCCCTCAGCTACTCAGTTCCAGCCACACTTCCCTCCTTGCTCTTCCTGTGACAAACCAAGCTCATCCCACCTCAGCACCCCCTGGACCTTTGCACTTGCTGTTCCTTCTGCCCCACTGGCCCTTTTTACCGTTCAGGTTTCTGTGTTACCTCCTCAAAAAGGCCTTTGCAGAACCCCCTCATCTGAAGTGGCCAGAGTAAGCATCTTGTTCGTTTATTTGATTTTCTGCTTCCTCTGATCAGGAGGTGGCAAACTTTTCCTGCAAAGGGCCAATTCCTAAATATTTTCAGCTCTGTGGGCCACACGTTCTCCATGGCAACTCATCCACTCTACTGTTGTAGCACGACAGTGGCTGTGTTCCAATAAAGCTTTATTTACAAAACAGCTTGCGGGCAGACCTGGCCCATGGGCTGAAGTGTGCCAACCTGTGCTGTAGCGCGTATGCTCTGCGATGGCAGATTCTTGCTTTGTGCACTGCCCAATCTCCAGTGCCTGGAACTGCGCCCTCAGTAATTAGCTGCTCCATGGATGGATGGATGGATGGATGGATGGGTGGATGGATGGATGGATGGAGGAAGCAAGCTCTATGTGTTAAGTTAGGGTTGCTATGAAGATTGCAGAATATGTGTTCACTTCTGGCATGAGATAAATGCTAGACTGTGTTTACTGAAAGATTCATCTACTACCTCGCCACTCTGTCCCCTGCATCTCCCCACTGCCAGGCCCCTAGCCTTGTCCCTCCCGACCCCACCCTGATCCCTGACTTCCTCTACCTTGTCCCTTCCTCTCCATCCCTGTGCGCACCCCTGAACCGGGCCCAGGTGGCATCCTACCCCTGGACCTTCATCCCAGCCTCCTGACCTCCAGCCTCCTGACCTCCAGTCCATCCACACACAGCCCAGGCGCTGACCTGCCCTCCCCGGGGCCCTAAACAAGGTCCTGGACCTTCAGCCCAGCCCGGCTTTCCTGCCCGTCTACTTGCCAGTCCCCAGTCTCCTCAGCTTTTCTTGTGCTGGTCCCTCTGGCAGCTACCCTCTAATGGGATCACTTCTTCACTTGAGGTCAGGCTAACTCCAGACATCAGTTCCTTCAGGAAGCCTTCCCCGTCACTTCCCTCCTACCCGGGGGAGTTTCGAGTGTTCCTCATACTGCGCGTCCCTGTGCTACCTCCACTTCCAGAGATCACCTCAAATAGGGACTTTCAAGGTCCGTGTCTGCCTCTCCCATCAAACTGGGAGCTCCTCTGGGGGCGCGGGAATGGTCTTCTTCCCTGCTGATGGCCTGTGCCTAGCACTGCGCCAGGAACGTGCGGGTACTCTGTAAGTGCTGGCCAGTTCACAAGCCACTGGGTGAGTGCCTGAGTCTTCCTCACCCCGGCTTGCACCCAGAAGTGTCCTGGGTGTGCACCCTGTTTTCTTAATTGAATTAAAAAAAAAACACCCAAGGGGAGGCAGGGAGAGAGATGTGGATGGGGGTGAGGATGGGGGGGTCAGTCGTGAGGGCAGGGAAGGGAGGTCAGGCACATGGTGAGGAGGGCTGGGTTAGTTCTGGGGGGTTAGTCCTGGGCAGGTGGGTGTGGGGTCAGTGTCATGGCTGCAGGTTAATCGGATGGAGCTGTTCAGTGAGGGGACGGGAGTCTCGGTCAGTGGGGGCTGCATGTTCTCAGAGGGGTTAGTCAGGAGGGAGGTGGGGATCAAAGTGGGGGTCTACTTACCCCGGGGGAAGGGGATTCGTCCGCTAGGGGGATATCCAGGCTGCAGCGTTGGCGTTGAGGTCGGGCAAGAAGCTTGGGGGACCTGGCTTACGCCAGTCTGGGGGGGGCAGTGGGGGAGCACCAATGGCTGGGGGTGGGGGAAGAGGCCAGAGGGTCCAGGGTGGGGTGGGGGGAGGGAGATGGAGATGGAATAAAGACAGGTGAAGGGTCAGTGGTGAGGAAATTTGGGCGTGGGGGGTCTGGGAGGAAGGGAATTTGGGGCCAGGGGATGGGTGAAGGGAAGTCCAGCACCTCCTCCCCCATCTCCCTCTCCCCCCTCCCCTGAGGGAGGGAGAGAGAGAGGGGGAGGGTCCCAGGGGGCCGGTGGAGGGCACCTCACCTTTCCGGATGGAGCCATCAGGGGAAGGGGCATAGTCGGTGAGGAGGAAGCAGGCTCGGTCCCGGCTATAGCGTCCTCGGCTCCCGGGGGTGATGGGGCTCTTGTCTTCTGGGGACATGGCGGGCTGGTCGATGGCTGGGCAGTCCTCGTGGGCGAGCGCAGCTGCAGCAGGGTCCCCATTGGGGCGTGGATCTGCACCGGGGGGTCAGACAGAGACACAAAGGAGTGAGGTGTGGGAACTCAAGGTGGGGGTGAGATTAGCAAGGAGGGTGTTGGAGCATGTTGGGTGCCGGAAGTAGATGATTGAGGGGCAGGGGGTCCCGAGGAGGTGACAGGAGGGGTGCACAACTGGAAGCAGGGTGTCAGGGTGTGTGCGTGGTGGGTTGAGGGAGCAGGTCATTGGGGGAGGGTGTTGAGTGCTGGGAAGGACAACAGGGAGAGAGAAGGGTGGTTAGGCGTGGGTGTGGAGGGAGGGTGTTGAGTGGTAGGAGGTGGTGGTCGGGCCAGGTGTTGGGTACTGGGCAGGGCAGGACTCGGGTGGGGTGTTGGGCACTTGGAGGGTGGTTGGGAAGCGAGCTGGGTGCTGGGAAAGAGGCTGGGTTAGAGTGCTGGGTGGGCAGTTGGGTGAAGTGAACTAAGCAGGGCAGGACTGGGGTGCAGTGTTGGGTTGGTAGGGTGCATGGCTTGGGATGGGTTTGAAGGATGGCTGGGGGATCTAGGGGGCTGGGAGGGAGTTGTTAGGGAGGGTGTTGGGTGCTGGAAAGGGCACAGTGGGGAAGGTTTGGGAAGGTGACAGAGGAGGGAGGGGGAGGTGGGGGTCCCCCAGGCTCTGACTCTAGCTATTTTTAATTGGTGTGAAACTGGGTCAGCGGCTGAGGGAGCAAGATGAGGGCCGAGTGGCCCAGCTCCCTTTCTTGACCTACTTAAGTCCCGGGGGTGGGGCCCACCAGCCTCTCCCTGCTCCGGACTGCAGCCCCCAATCATCGCCTCAGAGAGGGTGGGGGTGGGGGTGGGGGGGTGCAACACTCGGTCAACTTTCTTCTCCCTCATCTCCTTCGCTTCACCTCTTTATCTCGGCAGCCTCTCTGTGAGTCTTTCAGACCCGTCTCAGGCTGCTCTCAGAGCCAGAGACGGGGCCCTGGGACCCGAGTCACCGTCACGTGGCCGGTCGCCCTCTGGGCCTGTCTTCCTGGCCTCTATCTGCCTTTGGGTTTTTAAGTCTCGTCTCCTCTCTTGGGATGCGAAGGATTCGGGCAAAGCGGACAAACCGCAGGAAGCCCCGCACGTCTTTAGCAGCCTTGGAGCTGAGGCCTGAGAGTCCCACCTCCAGACAGAGGGGCAAGATGGCCACACAGTCGAACCTGAACTCTCTGCCACTGACCCCCGCCCCGCCGCCCCCGCTCCCTCCATCTGTCCTCTCTCTCCCGCTCTCAGGGACAATCGTTTCTGTCGCTTTTAGACGCTCTTCTCAGGGTCATGGCTGGAAGACTCAGAGGCTGCAGCTGTCCCTTGGCCAGGTTTCTGGCCCGCCTGTGATTCCCATGTTAGACCGACTCTGTGCCTGCGTCTGAGTCCCCCTCGCCGGAGGCTCATTACTCGGCCTCCTTGGTCCCCTGGAATATCATGGCTGTCCCCGGAATATCTGTTTCTCCGCAAACGGTCTCTCACACAGAATCTGTTTCTGTGCCTTTTCACTGACCTCAGCAATAGCTGTTTGCTCTTCCCTCTCCCCTCTGCTGTGACCCCCCCATTCTCTTAACCTCAGCAGTGACCTCCTGCCCCCTCGAAACCTCTCCACCTCCTCCCACGGGTCTCTGCCTGTGATCCCCCCACCCACCCCTCATGCACCCTTCTCACCTGCCCGGTTGATCTCAATGACTTCCTCCTGAGCCAATGGGCAAGGCTCCCCAGGGGCTGGCAGAGGAGGCAGCCCCATGATCCCGAGCCCACCCGCTCCCCCCCTGAGCAGCCCGGGGTGCGTGTGGGGGCCCGGTGGGTAGGCCCCAGCCACAGTCACCCCCACGGAAGGTGGGGTGATGGGGGGCGGGGGGCTGATGCCACCGCTGCCGTGGTGGGGGTGGTGCGGGGGTGGCGGGGGAGGGTCGGGCTTGCAGTAGTTTGGAGAGCCGGGCTGCGGGGGGCGGGGGATGTGTTTGTTCTTCTTCTTGGGCAGCTTCTGCTTGGCCATGGCCAGCGAATAGTACATGCCAAAGTTGTTGACAATGACGGGCACGGGCATGGCGATGGTGAGCACCCCCGCCAGGGCACACAGTGCCCCGACCAGCATCCCCGACCACGTCTTGGGGTACATGTCTCCGTAGCCCAGGGTCGTCATGGTGACCACGGCCCACCAGAAGCCGATGGGGATGTTCTTGAAGTAGGTGTGGTTGGAGCCCAGGATGTCATCGGGGTCAGCGCCAATGCGCTCCGCGTAGTAGATCATGGTAGCGAAGATGAGCACGCCCAGCGCCAGGAAGATGATGAGCAGCAGGAACTCGTTGGTGCTGGCACGGAGTGTGTGGCCCAGCACGCGCAGCCCCACAAAATGGCGCGTGAGCTTGAAGATGCGAAGGATTCGGACAAAGCGGACAACCCGCAGGAAGCCCAGCACGTCTTTAGCAGCCTTGGAGCTGAGGCCTGAGAGTCCCACCTCGAGATAGAAGGGCAAGATGGCCACACAGTCGATGATGTTGAGGCTGCTCTTGAGAAATTCCACCTTGTCCGGGCAGAAGGTGATGCGCATGAGGAACTCGAAGGTGAACCAGACCACACACACGCCCTCCACATAGGTCAGGAAGGGCTCCGTCTCCACCTCCACATTGGTGATGTTCTCTGGTGGAGCCCCGGGGATCGGGGAGGCCTGTGTCACCGTCTTGTTGCTGATATGGATGAAGCCTTCGTGGGTCTCCAAGCAGAAGGTGGTTATGGAGATGAGGATGAAGAAGAGGGAGGCGAAGGCCACATACTGTGAGGCAGGGCAGGAGAGAGAGGGCAAAAGGTGACCCAGGCATCTGGTCAACCAGCCATATCCACAAGGCCCTCCCAGTGGCCCCTCTTCCCAGCCCCCAAAACCCCCAGAAACCCCATGCCTCCATCACAGCCTGCATCCTGCTGTCCCCTCTAATGCTGAAAAAAGGGAGGGAAAGGAGCAGGCAGCTCTCCCCAGCTTGGGATAGGAGCTGGCTCCAGCAGTGGAAACAGATGGGCAACTGTTTTCATGGAAACAGCAATTTCTGGTCCTTTACTCTGTCTCGCACACCACTTCCCCATACCCTGTGTCCCATCTCAGGACTCCCCAGCAGGGTCCGAGGATTCTGGGGGGAGGCATGGGGTGGGACCAAGATCACTCACCCTCTGAGTATCAGAGGCTTTGGAGTTCGGCTTGGAGCCAAGGGAAGGGGAAGCGGAGAAGGTGGGTAGGGAGGCAGAATGCCCGAGATGGTTAAGAAAACCTGGATTTGAATCCAGCTTTTCCTGTGCCTAATTTGGGCAAGGAGATTAAGCTTTCCACACCTCGGTGTTTTTTTTATTTTATTTTATTTTGTTTTTTACCAGATTATTATGAGGATTATATGGGGATACAAAAGTCCCGGCTCCAGAAACAGTGCTTGGCCCAGCGTCTGGAACTCAGTAAGAAAGCCTGAGCTCCTATTAGGGTATATGGGCATCAGTTAGTTGGGGGCAAGGTCCAGGCCTTCGGAGAGGAGCCAGGGTTTTAAGGACCCTGGTTCCAATGCCCGGCCTCAGAGAAGGGAGAAAGCTGGGTGTCACCCTCACCCAGAGAGAACAGTAAATGGCTGGAACCACAGAGGGGTATAAGGGCCATAAATAGGAAAAGAAGTGAAGGGTGAAGTCTGCAAAAATCGAAAAGGATAGAAGCAAGGAGGGCTGGGGTTTCAGGCTCTAGAGAGGAAGGGAGGGTGGGGGGGGCCTAAGCGTCAGGGGAGATGGTGGAGCTAGGGCCATAGAGGTGAGGAGGCTTTAGCCAAAAGTGCAGAGAAGGGGGTGGGCACACATGGGTTATTTCAAGATGCGGAGGACCAGAGTCCTGCACTCAGTGGTGTGGATTTTGAAGAAAACCTTGAGGAGCAGAGGGGGATGCAGTCAAGATCTCAGAGAAGGAAGGAGACAGAGCTGGCCCCTGGAGGTGACAGTGGGCTTTATCAAACATGCAGAGAGGAGAAGAAGAGAGTGGGGTTAGTGCCTTGCAGGGAGGAGATGGGTGTTAAGGCAAAGAGGGGGCTTTAACCAGTTGGGTAGAGGAGGAAGGAGGGCCTGGGTAGCTTGAGTTTTAATCAGGGATGCAGAGAAAAGCGGGGGCCCAGGGTCCGACTGCAGACAGGACCCCAGACCTTGGGGTGGGCTGGGGGCCTGCACAGCCCCTCAGCCACTCTCCTTCCTCCACAGGGCTGGGGGGCGGGGTCTGGGCTTGGGAAGGCCCAACTTTGAAGCGCAGAGCAGAGAGGGCCCTGGACCCTGGGGTGGGCTGGGGTCAGCGCTGGCCCTCTCTGCCCCGCCCCCCTCCTCGTTTCTCCGCAGTGGTTTAAGAGGCCAGAGGCCACCGCACAGCGCATGCCCGGTGCTCCTACGCCCCCTCCGAGCCGGGTGCGCGGCGCAGGCTGCGGCACCGCAGTGGGGGCGGGCCGGCCAGGCCGGGGGGCGGGGCGTGCGGCGGCCAGCACCGCGGCCAGCTCCCCCGCCGCAGTGCGCAGCCGCCGCGGCTGAGAGCGGTCTTAACCCCTTCCGGGCCGGAGCAGAGCAAGGAGGGCGCAGCCGCAGAGCCGCCGCTTCACCTCGGGAGGCGGCGGGCCAGGAGTTTAACTCCTACCCTCCCAGGGCAAGGAAGGAAAGGTGGGCAACCCGTCGCAGTGCACAGCTGTAGAGGCTGGACAGCGTCGGGACCGGTTTAACCCCTTGCCCCGAGGTGGTTCAAAAGCAGAAGGGGCAGGAGGGCAAGGAGTCCCCGTAAGAAGGAAAGGAAAAATTACGCGAGGGGAGCGAGGATGAGGTAGGGCCGTACTCTCCACGTTGCACTGGCCTCTGCTCCCAACTCTGTCAAGCTCTCTCACTTGTAGCTTGGAAAGTACTTGGCAAGCCGACACTCAAAACCGTTTGTGGAGTAAGTGAGTGACAAGACCCCTCCCCCGTAACTGTCCCGAACCTCTATTCTCACCTCAGCACCCTTCAATGGGGTTACGAGGGAAGGGCGCCCCAGGCCATGGGGGAGGAGGCCACTCAGAGGCCTGAGGGGGCATTTAGGGCCAAGTCCCTTCGGAACCTCCTCCTCCCCACCTCCCCCCCCCTCCCCCGCCCCAAATCTCGCCAACTCAGCGCTTCCTGGGACCAAACTTTTTGCGGTGCCTCTGGGCCCCCCCCCCCCCCCCGCTTCGCACCCTCCCCTGGCGCGAATGCGGCACTGCGGCTCCGCGTCCTTCCCGGCCCAGGACACGGCACGGTGGGGGGAGGGGGGCGGACCGGTTCCTCCGGGTGTTTGGGTCGCCGGGAGGCTAGGAGGGGGCCCCGGAGTTGTTCCTCTTTCCCCTCCTTTCTGATCCCCCCCATTTTGAACTGTCCCCCTCTCTTCCAACACAGGGAGGAAGTTAGTAGGAGGAAGAGGTTCAAGGGAGAACAAAGGGGGAGGGTAGCTATTTAACCTAGGAAGTTAGAGATGTTTGAAGGAAGTTTTGGGGGGAAGATGAAGGGAGCTTTGGGGAAAATCTGGCATTTCAAGGGAGATAAGGCTAGAGTGTGTGCACTCCGGTTCACTTTGGGGGTAGGGGAGCAGAGGGTCCCAGTCCTAGGGTTTGGATGGTGGGAGGGCGGGGAGCTTGGGAAAGAGGGAGTGAGCAAGGCTGGGGTAGGGGCCAGTGGAAAGATACCAAGGCAGAGTGGAAAGAATTGGAAGGTACTTTGGGAAGGAAGTTTTGGGACAGATAAATGGGGGGGGGGGAGGAGTCCCAAAGATTGAGGTTCGTTAAAGTTCTGGAACAGGAGGAAAAGTCAGTTGATTGACTTGGAAAAGGACTGGGAGGCTCTGGATGGGGGACCCCAGAGATAAAGAGTGGGAAGGGAGAAGAAGCTGGGAGAATCTGTGGATGAAGAAGAAGGCATATGGGAGCTTCTGGAGAGGAAAGACATATTATGGGGGCTCAAGACTCTTCTGGAGACACTGAGGAGGAGTGTGAAAGGCTTGGGGGAAGTCTGGAGCTTTATAGGGAAAGTCCTTGGGATGGGAGTTGGCGTGGAAGATGCAGGAAGATATGTGAACACAGAGACACAGAGGGGACTGGATAGGGTCCCAGGAGGGAAGGCTTCCCCAAGACTCCGTGTTGCAGTAGGGGGAGGGGGAAAGTGTGCTAGCCAGAGCAAGTGGTTTGGGGATTCACAGGGGTCCAGGAGGCTCTGAGATTGAGGCGGAGCCTTCTAAGCCTTTAAGAGCAGAAGTGGGGTTCAAAAATAGCCAGAAAACTCAAACTTGGAGAGAGGGGGAGGTGCAGGGAGAGGGGCATAGGGAGAAATAGTCAGGGAGGTGTTGGGAGAACCCGAGGGACTGAGGGTTGGAGAAGGGGCTTCCGAGGAGCTGCAGCGGGGCAGGGAAAGGAGGGGGCAGTGTTCACAGGGTCTGGGACGCTGAAGGTTAAGAAGGGTGGTCTTCTGAGGGTCTGGGGATGGTCCAAGAAACTGAGGGCTGCAGAGGGGTTCTCTAGGGATCTGAGGGGTAACCAAGAGAGGTGAAAAGGATTCACAGGGGCTCAGAAGACTCGGGACTGGACAAAGTTCTTCTGAGGGTCTCAGAGGAGTCCAGGAAAGGGGGTAGTGAGGTTGTTCAGAGAAGCCCAAGAGATTCACAGTCGGGGCAGAAGTTTCTCAGAGTGCTGGGTAGCCTAGGGAAGCCGGCTGGGGTTTGGAGGGATCTGGGGGATTCTGAAGGTTGCGGAAGCGTCTTCTGAGGATCTGGGGATGGTAGGGAGAGGGTGTGTGTTCAGAAAAGTACAGGAGTCTCGGGGTTGGAGAAAGAAGCTTCTTCTCTAGAAGAGCCTGGGAGGCTCAGAGACCAGGAAGGCGGGGGGGGGGGGGGGGGGCGGGGGGGGGCAAAGGGGTTCTGAGGGTTAGGAGGGGGCACTCCTAAGGGGCTGGGATCTGGAGGAAATGGGGGAGGGGTGGGGGCTCCGAGAGCGCGCTCACCCTGGCGGCCCGCGACGAGTAGGGGTCCTCGAAGAGCGCCCACACACGGGGCTGCCAGCGGCGCCACCACGTGCCGCCTGCGCCGCCCGCGCCCCCTGGCGGCCCCCCGGCGCCGCCGCCCGCGTCCTGGAAGCAGAGGCGCTTGAGCTCGCCGCCCGCGCCGTCCAAGCCGCCGCCGCCCGCACCCGCCTCGTCGTCCAGGCCCGCGTCGTGGGCGCCGGCGGCGTTGGCGGCGTTGGCTGCGCCCGCTGGGTCCGGAGCCTCGAAGGAGTCGAGCGCCTCTTCGGCGTCGCGGTGCTGCCGGTAGGTCATCCAGCAGCAGGCCTCCACGTCGGTCTCGTCGATGCCCCAGAAGCCGAGCTCCTCCTCGAAAAGCGGCCCGCACACGTCGGCCGGACAGTGCAGCTTGCCTGTGCGGTAGTAGTTGAGCACGTAGGCGAAGACTCCCGGGTGCCGGTCAAAGAAGAACTCGTCAGCGCCGGGATCGTAGTCGAAGCGCGCCGCCGCCTCGGGCTCCGTCAGGCCGGCCAGCCGCGTCCCCGGCAGGGTGCGCAGCGTCGAGCGGTACGTCTCATGGCGCACGCCGCCCACGTTGATCACGATCTTGCCGCTGTCGCCACCGCCGCCGCCGTGCCGCCCCATGGCCGCCGCCGGCAGCCCGGGGCATGGCTCGGCGCGCCGGCCCCCGGGCCCGCGAGGTGCCGGGGGGCCCGCCGAGGACGCGGCGGGGCCGGGCTGCGCAGACTGCTGCTGCTGCAGCGGCGGCGGTGACGGCGGCGGGGGCAGCGGCGGCGGGGACTCGGGCGGCTGCGGCGGTGGCGCCGGCTGCTGCTTGCTGGCCCCCTGGCGCCCGCGGAAGGACGAGACGCAGACTGAGCTCAGCATTGGACGGGGGGCGGGGCGGGAGGGGCGGGGCGTAGGGGGCGGGGCCGCAGGGGGAGAGGCAGACAGGATTGGGTGGAGGAGGCGACGAGTGGAGGGGGCGGGGCCGCGGTGGGGGAGGAACAGAACTGATTGGTCTGGGGGAGGTAGGGCGGGGCTGAGGCCGCGAGAAGGTCGGGGACTCCTCACAGCCTAGCTGGACGGGGCGGGGCTGCAGGTGAAGCACACCGATTGGATCTTTCCGAGAGAAGGGGCGGGCGGAGCGAGGTGTTAAGGGGGCGGGACCGGCAACTAAAGCTGCGGGGCTGTGCCGCACCGGGAAAACGGAGGAGGTGGGACTAGATATGAGATCTGATTGAACTGAAAAAAGGAGCGGGTTCAGCAGAGGAAAGGGACAAGTCCAAACTATTTAAAGACTTCTGACTGGCATGGGGGAGACGGTCCTGACTGGACAGAGAAAGGACCTAAAGAGCTGGCAAGCAGGACGCGGTGGGGGGGGGGCGGATGGAGACATCCGGCTTGGGCCCCTAACTTTGCTTTGTCGCGCGGCAGGGCGGACCCTAAGAAGAGGCAGGGCCTGAGAAAGAAACAGTCCTAATTGGGCTGGGAGAGTGAGGGGGCGAGACTGAACGAGGGGCGGGAACTGGAAATGGAGTGTAGGGAGTACTTTCGCGCGAATAGCACTAGGCTGGACTGAAAGGAGGAATAGGGACTGAGACCCAGTGAGGAGGAGCGGACATAAGTGAAGCCTGGAAACCTGAGAGCGTCTGGCTAGGACTAAGAAAGGGGGCGAAGTAAGGAAGGGAAGGGTCAGGGGCTGCAAGTGTGGCCTGGTTAGACGGGGGTGGGCCGGGAGAATGAGCGTCAGGATGGATGGAACGGGACTGAGGATGGTGGGTGGGGTCTACGAATGGTAGAATGCCTTTTGAAGGCGCTGTGGGAAGGCAAGACTTAAGGGAGGAGCCGGGTTCTAAGAGGCTTGAAAGCAACCAGGCTAGGCGGGGGTGGGGCAGGGTTCAGAGTAGAGAACGGTTAATGGGTCCGCTACGGGAAAGGTGAGACCTGCAGGGTACAAAGCTACTGGGCTGGTTGGAAGGGTGGGACCTGGAATGGGGAGTCTTGGGGCTCAGAGAACCTGGGAGAGAGTCATAAGAGTCAGTGGGGCTTCAGAGGGCGATACAAGAATTTCCAACTGGTGATGAAAAAGGGACCAAGTCTACACAACAGCGGACTGCAGACTGGAGAACCAAGGGATGGATGAGGACTGGTGAAGAGGGAGCCTTAAGGGCGGTGGAGGGGAGAAACCTAAGCGCCGGGAAGTCTAGGCTAGGCTGAGGAAATAAGCCGCGCCAATGAGAAATGGGGCGGGGCTAGGTGTCCAGGAGTCCTGGCGGGAGAGGCGAGGAGGGTTGGGGCGGGGCTAGCTGAGGGGCGTGTCCGGCCCCGCCCCCGTGGCTGGCCAGACGCCGGGTAGCAGGGCGCAGGCGCTGGGGCGGGGCCAGCGGCTGCTGCCGGGGCTGCGGCGGGAGAAGGCGGTGCCTGCGGGAGCGAAGGGGGCGGGTCAGGGGCTGCGGGCTTCCTCCCGCGGCACTATCCCTGGCCCGCCGCCTCCCTCTGCAGGTGCGGCGACTGGTTCGTATCGCCTACCCACCCACCCCCGCTCCCGTTTCTGTGTCTCTCGATGTCTTTCTCTCCCCTTTCTCTGAGTATTTTTCCCCTCGTCTCTGCCTTCATCACTCGGAGACTCTGGTCCCTCTTTTCTAAGTCTCTACCCTCCCTCTGGGTCTCTGTCCCATTATTCTCACAATGTGTCCCCCTCCCTCTGAGGCTTTGCCCCCATCCTCTCCCCCCAACTGTGTCTCTGTCCCCCCACCCCCAGTCTCTTTCTCCTGGTCTCAGGGATTTGCCTCTCTCTGGGCCTCTGTCCCCTCCCGGTTTCTGTCCCTTCTCTTTGTGTCTCTGTTCTCCACTCCCCCTCCCCCGCTCCCGCCTCGCCAGTCTGCCCCCTCTCTGGGTCGCTGTCCCCCTTGCTCTAGGCCCCTGTCTCCCTCTCCCTGGGTCTCTGTCCCCTCCAGCCCTCTGTCCCTCTTATTTGTGCCTCTGTCCTCCACTCCCCTCTCCCAATCTGTACGCCCCACCCCAGTCTCTGCCCATTCATCTGCGTTTCCGTTCCCCTTGCTCATGTTCTCTGACAACCTCCCTCCTAGTGTCTTTTTTCCCTCCTCCACAACTTTCCCTCCTCTGTAGGTGCCCTTTCTCTTTCTGCCCTTTCTTTTTCTCTCTGTCCCCCTATTCAGGTCTCTATCCTTGCTCCCTGTGTCTCTTTCCTCCATATCCTCTTCCCCCTTCTGAGTCTCTGTCCCCACTTCTTTGGGACTTTGTCCCGCTGTCCTTTGGTCTTTGACACCCCCCCCCATCACCCCCTCTAACCCCGATCCTGGCCAGGACTCCAGGCTGCGTCACTGCGGAGAGAGTTGCAGAAGTGGGGCCTGTCCTGCAGACCAGGGAGGTAGTTTCCCTCACCCCTCAGACCCTGGGCTCCCCCACTGTCCCCAATTGAGTATCCTTAATCCAGTATCCTTGGGCAGTCCTGAAGCCCCCAATGGGACCCAGGAAGGCAGAGAAAAGACATCGGAGCTTCCTACTCCTTTCTGCCCTGAATTCTGGTGTATCCCCAGGCAGAAGCAGTGAATCTTGAGGTGAGGGACTGGACTTAGGTTGAGGCTTGAGTGAGGTTTTTGGGTTGAGTGAGGTTTTTGGGCAAGTCGGGAGTCGGGGTGGAGCCTGGAGCAGGGGTTAGGTAGGTCCTAGGGCTGGGAGTAGGGGCTAGAAAAAAACCTAAATCAGCCATGCTCCCTTATATCCTCTCCCCTCCCCCCAACTCTACTTTTCTCTTCTGCTTTTGACAGCAGCCAGGCACGGGATCGAGTGACCAAATCAGCGTTTTTGCAGAGGTCAGAAGGTGTGGGAGAAGGTGTGAAGGAGAGGGCGGGGGCTGCCATAGGGGAGAATATGGGATGAGACTCCAGATTAGAGACCATGGGAGTGGGGAGGAGGCCCCAGGACAAGGAGTAACAGGACAGTCCAGACTCCATCAGGCCCTGGGAAAACTGAATGCCATCATTCCCTCATGGCCCTCCCCAGGCCCCTGCAGGTTATCTGTGGGGATTTGTGAGCCTGGGTTCTGTACCCATGGGGTAGGCTTCTGGAGGCATAATGTAGGTTCCGGTTATGGGACACCCGGCCCTGCAAACAGACCAGAGGGAAGTGGACTCGAGTTTTGGTGATAGACACCAGTAGGGTGTAGGCCAATGTCCGTCCTGGTCTTCAGACCTTTCCCACCCCTCCTCCTTCCCAATCTATCCTTTCCCTGCTCCTCCAGGCACAAAATTCCTGAAAGCTCCAAACTCCCACCTCCGTCATCCTCGGTGCCTTCTCTTAATTAACTTCCCCTCCCCCATTCTCCAAGACCCTGGAATTGGGAAAGGGTCTCCCGCTTCCCGATTTCTAGGACCCCAGCTTCGTTCCTCCGCCCCCATTCCTATCAGTTCTAAATCTAGGAAAGAGGGTCTCCTGAACACTAAAGCTGAAAATATGGAGACTCTCTGCCTACGATCCTTGGTTCCCCAGACCCTCCAAGAACCCTGGCCCCCAAACCTCGTTATTAAGGAAGAATCTCTCCGCTGTAATTTTTGAGTCCTCATCTCCCGGGTCTCCCACCTCCAAAACTGGGATTTGGGCCGTCTTACCGCCCCCCGGACCCTGTGCCTTCTCCCCCTCCCCCGTACTCACCCCAAGTCGAGGCGGGGCGGGGATGGGGGAATCCGGGGCTGGCGTTGGGGGAGGGGTGACCCAGCCCCGGCAGCTCAGGGCAGCAAGAGGCTGCGGAGGGGGGGGGAATGACATCATCGCCGGAGGAGGGACAGCACAGCTCCCCCCAACCCGGGGGCTTCAAGCCCCGCCTTTATGGCGGACCCAGGGGTCTCAGAATCCCAGGGGAGAGAGGAAGAACAGAAGACGAAGTCTGCGGGAATCGCATCCCCACCCCTTAAAACAAGGGTTGGAAAGCCCTTTACGATTCAGCCACCACCCCCCACTGCCACCTGTCGCTGGCGTCGCGACCTGTCGCCTCCCACGCATGTTGTGGCTGCGCCCGCCCCCGGCAAAAGAACACAGCCTGGAATACAAGGTCCGTGATGCTCCGCGGTGCCGGGCGCCTTTGTCTATAGGCGGCATAGGCGAAGGGCTTCATGGGATTCGTAGTACAAGGCCCCCGCACCGGTGGGAGCCCTGCTGGAGAAAAGGAGTGATTCCTTTCTCCTTCCTTTCTTCCTCAACTTCAGAGAGCTGAGCACTAATTTTTCTCTCCAAAAATCGTGCGCTTAAAATTAAAAAAAAGGGACCAAGGTAGGGTCAACGTAATAACGGATTTTTACTGAGTGGCTGGGCCTCGGCTACCCACTCGGTGCGCATGCGCCTAATCAGGGCGCCAACCAGAGGACTGCGCCCGCGCGGGCCCACCCCCTCGTGGTCCTGCTCCCGGGGAGCGAGCGCGCGCCAGCCCCACTCGGGCACCGCCTGTTAGGTTCCCGCGATCGAAGACCGCTACGTAGGACCGCAAGAACACATCGCCGAGAATCCAGAGGGGCCCTGCAGGCGGAGGCATGTCCAGGACCTGGAAGCCAGACAAGCAGAGGCGGACACCACCCCGAGCAATCTGCAGGGCGACAAGAGAGGCCACTGGGTGTCACGCGCACCGAACCCTCCTCTTCTTCCCGGGGAGCCAGAGCTCTGCCCCCTCCCACTATCCCGGGCACCAGAAGTGTTTCTGTGGCCCCTCTTCGGTCCTGGTGATGTCTCATTCCTAACTCCATCCTCTCAAATCCCATCTTATTGCATCTCTCTGACTTGTGACGGCCACCTACCTGGATGACATAGTCCTGGGCTGTAAGGTTAAACCAGACCCCACCAAGGAGGAAGGAGATTGGAGGAAGCGTTGGAATTTTCGAGCACTGGATGAGGTACTGAAGGAGAAGAGGAACAAGTGGAGCTGAGGGATTCCTGCTTAAAATAGGTACTCAGGGCCTTGTGTGGTCAAGCTCTGTTGCTAGCCTTACCAGCTCTCCCCGCAACACACATAATTATTGCCACTTCCTTTAGGGCTCCCTTTTGATCAAACCTTCTTTTCCTGCATCTACTTGTGGATCAAAAACTGCTGGCCCCGTGAGGGACACCGAGCCCGCAGTTGTATTGAAATTGTCTTAGAGTTTCAAAAATGTTTTAAAACTTATTTACCAACTGTACACCACGGTGGGACCGGTCGTATCCTTGGAGTCTGCTGCTGTGCAACCTTAGACAAGTTACTTAACCCCTCTGTGCCTCAGTTTCCAATTTGAAGGTGTAGTTGATAGTAATACTTCATAGAGATGTTGTGTGAGAAATAAATGAGTTAGTTTGGAAGAATGCCTGACACATAGTAAGGGTGTTATTATTCACGAACCAGGAGGTTTCAGATAATGTTTTCAGCTTTCTCCAACAAACCAGAAGATCTGGCTTTCCCTCCATGGAAACACTTGGCTGGAGCTGAGTGGCCTAGAGCTGCACTTTTTAGACTGATGGGGTACCTGCTCCCCAGTTTGCCTCCAATCCCACCACCCCCAAGTACCTAAGAATACAGTATTAGGCTGTAAATATTGTAAATGTTTACATTTGTAAATGACTGTAATGTAAATGACTACCAGGAAGTCGATCTTCCTTAAAAACCAATAGTAATTACCTTGTTGGGAAGGTAAGGAATGTTGAGAAGAAGTTGATTTCAAGTGTGTATATTTCTCTTGAGATGACAGCATCAAAGTATTGTTCTAAGTACCTTAAGTGGGTTGATTGATTCAATCCCCACAACATACCTAAGAGGTGAGTATTAGTGACCCTACTTTAGAGGTTAGGAAACTGACGCCAAGGGACATTAAGTGACTTGTCCAAGACAGCACAGCTCGTAAGTGGCACAGCTGGATCCCTACCCGGGCAAGCCACACCGAACCACTATGATCTCCCTGGTTCCCTTGGCTCATTACAGGCCCACGTCCTAGGCATTTGACTTGGAGACGCACAAACTGAGTTTTCTCCACCCTCGCAGAAGTGCCAAAGAACAAAGGGATAGAGTTACAGAAAACCTGACCTGGTAGGACCCTGCCCCCACCCCAAAAGCTGCAGGGCTTCCCGGCAGAGAAGTGAGTGAGCAGCTTTGATGTTGCACCGTGGCCCCCCTCCAGGCCTGAAACTCTCTTGGCACGGCTTCTGTGAGCCTGCACTCTCCTGTGCCTCGGGCTGCTTCTGCCCTATCTCCACTTCTACTCTATGTGGATGTTCCCCAAGGCTGCTCCCGGGACCTCTTCTCGCTCCCAGAAAGGGCTCCCCTCTTCCATGGCTCTGATCACTGTCTGAGGGCTGATGGCCGCTCACTCTTTCTGGGCTTCCTCCACAACTCCGCAGGCCTCTGCAGCCTCCTTAGGCTTCTCATTCCCATTCAGTCCTGAATAAACCTCCATCACCATCTCCTCCTGTCCAGAGTCACTCAGCAGAGGCCTAGGAGGTGTCCTTGCTCCTCCCACTACCCCCAGCCTGTCACTCAGGATGCCCAGTGCCTTTTGCCCTGGGATCCCTCTTAACCACTATTCCCACCCTCAGGCCCTAGCATTATGCCCAGTGTTTGCCATCAAAGCCCCACCAGACACTGGGTCCTCACCTCCCCCAACAGAAGGGAGACTCCTCCAATGGCTGCATGCAGGGCCTGGATTTCTTCAGTGGGTCCTGTGATGAGGGATGTGCCTGTGTCCAGGATGGCAGCACAGCCCTGGGCACAAAGAGTCAGCCCTATGCCCACGTTCACACTGTGAGGGGCCAAGGGGTGGACATTGGAGCCAGCGTCCTAGGAGTCCAGGCCCTCAGCCCTTCCTCCCTCAAACACAGCAGCCCTAACCGAGTCCCTTCCTCCCTCAGACCCAGGAGTCTGCGTCCCCAGCCCCCTCCTCCCTCAGACCCAGGAGTCCAGGCCTCCAGCTCCTTTCTCCCAGGACACTGGAGATTAGGCTCTAGCCCATTCCTCCCAGACCTAGAAGGGCAGGTCCCTCACCGCTCCATGTGGATCTGCCAGTAGGCAGGGATCGTTACTGGCAAGAAAGTGAGGGGTGGGATATAGTGAGCTGGATCTGAGCCACCCAGAACCAGCTCTCCTCCATCTGCTGCCGCAGGATCCCTGCAGAGGCAAAGTGCTGTCAGTGTCTTGGGTGTTTCCCTTGCCAGACCCAGGAGGGGCCAAGGAAGGGCATTCCTGCCAAGGGAAGGTCTCCTGGTTCTAGGTGGGGGTAGCGGGATGCAGGCAGAGCCTAGATATTGGGACTGGAAGCCAAGCAAGAAGTGAAGAGAAAGGGGACTGTTCTTGATGAAGGTCAGGATTGTAGGGTCCTGGGGGCTTTCCGAAGTGGGGATGGGACTTCTTGATATGGCTGTGGAAGATAAGAACTTTTGGGGTGGAATTTATGCGAATTGGCTCTGGCAGTTGTGACTTGGGCAGAAGTGAGGTGACTTTCTGGGTATGGTGAGACCTTCTGAATTGTAGGTCTCATAGTTCAGAGGTGGTAGACTTCCTAGTTGGCTGAGAGTGGCGGGGAAGAAGGGCAGTGATTCCTGGAGGTGGCGGAGGAGAGGATATACCCAGAGGTAGATGGGGCTTCCTGAATGGGTTGGACATCAGGGTAACTGAAAGGGCATAGGGTTTTATGCCTGTGGGGGATGGGCCTCCAGAGGGAAGGTAGGGACTTCCTGGGTGGTGGTTGGGGCTTTCTGAGCATAAGGTCCAGCTTCCTAAAAGGTAGGTGGGACGTCTTAGATTAAAATGGGTAACTTCTGACTTCTGGAATGCGTTCTCAAATGGCATTTGGGCTTTCTGGACAGTGAAGAGGGGGTTCCTAAGTTGAGTAGGTAGGGCATGGAGTTTCCTGGTTTGGGTTTGAAACATGGAGCATTTGAAATGATGGTGAGTGTCTTTAGGAGGTCTTAAGGTTGCTTGGTGAGTGGGACTTTTGAACAGGAGTTACTTATATTGGGTAGGTGATTTGGTGAGTGGAGGATGAGACTTCCTTTATTGGGTAAGGGACTGCCTGAAAACAGAATGTCCTTCTTGGGGCTAGGACTCATAGGAAGGTAGACCCTTCCTTATTACCTGTTGAGGTAGAAGGAGAAGACAGGCTTATCCAGTAGCCCCTGGTCCACCAATGTATCCAGCGGGGGCCGAACTCTTCCCACAGCCAGAGTGGGGAAACCAAGGCCCAGTATCCCATCGAAGTGGGCAAAAGTGAAGACCAGGCTGGGCTCCCACAGAGCCTCTCCAAAAATCACTGATGCACCCTTAATTCCTCCAATCTAGGGATAGATGCAAATGGGGCAAGTTACTTCTCGGAGGACATTACCTACATAACCCTGAGGACTTCCAAACCAAGGCCTGAATCCCATACCTGGAGACTTCTGAAAACAACTCCAACTGCCTAGGAAGTTTTGCTTCCGGACTTAGGAAGCCCACCCCTTTAACCAGGAAGCCCCACCCCCGCTTGAGAAGCCCTGCCCCTTTTACCCCAGAAGCCCCGCCCCCTACTTCAGAAGCTTCATCCATTTGCCCTGGAAACCCCACCTCCTAAACCACCTCCCTAAGCCAGATTATTTTAGACATTGGGGTTCTCCCAGGCTCAAGTCTTCCTGGGGTCAGTGGTCACGCACAGTCAGCTTGTCCTCACTCAGGATGCCATCTAGCTTCCCAGTTCCATACTGAATGGCAAACTTGGTCCCATTGGGTTGGAAGGAGCTGGAGGCCTTGGAGTTGAAGCGGTGGTGGAACCCTAGGTCAGAAGACCAGGGAGGTGTCACTGGGGAAAGGGAATCTCCCCAATGCCTCCTGCCTTTGTGACCTTGTCACCCCTGAAGTCGTGTCAGAAGAGAACAGTGCCTCGAAAATCCTTGGGAAGCCAAGAACCAGCCCCCTCCTTCTCCCATCACCCCTGTTCAGCCTTATTTTCCCCCATGAAAGCTCACAGCAGGGCAGACTGAAGAAGTGGCATCTTATGGATGGGACCCAGAGATTGGAGGAGCCAGTGTCAAAGACGACAGAGAAGTTTTGTGGGGGTGTTCCCAATCCAATTTCCCCATAATACTGGACCTGATGGCAAAACAGGAGAGAGGGAGAATGAATAGCTTGACTTCTTAAGCGGGGAGGAGGGCAGAGGCTCTCTGGGACTGTGACTCACATTCATGTAGTTAGAGAGAGCTACCAAGATGGGCTTGTCCCCAGGGGATGGGGCCCCCAAACTGGGGGGCACTGCTGGCTTCCCCCATCCCCTCAGTGGGTTCAGGGTCCCACGTCCAGGGTAGAGTCGGCGGAGAGGGATCCTGTGGGGGAGAATACTGACAGTTAGGAAACTACTCTTCCTGGAGACTCTCTATAACAGAATTTTCCAAATAGGATATAATGATAAAGGGAATGTCTCTATGGCCCTAAAATAACTGTCATTACCAGAAAGCCTACAATAACAACCTTCGAGGAAACCCAACCAAACACATAGCAAACCATGATGACAAATTTCCCCAAAGACTTTACAAGAGTGAGCCATCCCAAACAGACCTTTCCCAGAATCTTTCAATAAGAGACATTCCAAATAACAGAAAATAAGCCATCCTCAGGAAGTTGACATTCACAAAGGTTTCCAAAGACCCTAAATATAAAACTAGCCTTTGCAAAAACCCTCCTGTGCGTGCTTCTCATCATGATGTCGGAGGCTATTTTCCTTACTATTGGTGGGGGGGGGGGGAGAGGACAAGCACCAAATCCCAATTTCATTCTTTATACTAAACTACGTTCCAGGGGCGCCTGGGTGGCTCAGTCGGTTAAGCATCTGCCTTTGGCTCAGGTCATGATCCCAAAGTCCTGGGATCGAGCCCCGAATCAGGCTCTCTGCTCAGCGAGGAGCCTGCTTCTCCCTCTCCCTCTGCCTGCCTCTCTGCCTACTTGTGCTCTTTCTGTCAAATAAAGAAATAAAATCTTAAAAAAAATAAACTACATTGCAGATAATCAAAGACGTAAGGTAAAATGTAATATTTTTTAAAGATTTTTTTTAATTTATTTGAGAGAGAGAGTGAGCGAGAGAGAGAGAGAGAGAGAGAGAGAATGAGTTGGGGAGGAGCAGAGGGAGAGGGAGAAGCCGACTCTTCCCTGAGCAGAGAGCCCAACGTGGGGCTTGATCCTGATCATGACCTTAGCTGAAGGCAGACGCCCAACTAACTGAGCCACCCAGGTGCCCCGTGAAATGTAATATTTAAGAGCACTAGAGTGAATTAAAATGTTTAAATAACTCTGGCTTTTTAAAGCATGATAACAAGATCAGAAATCATTGGGGAGAATGTTGATGAATGGGACTCTAAAATTTTAAACCTTTGTACTCCCTTCCTCCAACACACAAAGCTTTTTAAAAAGTTTTTTAAAATCTAGGGGAAATAATTACAAGTTATATGTCAAAGAGTTAATATCTTTAATATGCAAAGAGCTTTTACAAACAAATAAGAATAAGATAAACAGCCCAGCATTGGGGAGACAATTCTCCAGGTTCTCACATTTCCAAAGAGGGACTTTGTCAAGGATTTCCTTTAGTGAACAGCCTTGGGAGAGACAGTGTCTCCCTCTGGGGCAAAGAGCAAGCAGGTTTATGATCCATTATAAAAGGTTCAAGTTCCCTAAACTTAGGGTACCTTTCCTGTATTGCACCTCACTGCATGTGCAGGTCAGCCAGCTCTCTTCATCTCACCCTGTGGGAATGGGTTCAGAGAACTGATACCCTGGCTACTACTGTTGCCAAGAGTAGTAACCTGTCCTTGTCTCTGACCTGGGAGTCTTGTGTCTTCTATGAGCAGCCATGAAAGGAAATTGTGGCAAGCTTGACATTTGGTAGGAAAATAGGCAAAGGACATAAGCAGGCAAAAGAAGTACAAACAGCTTCTAAACAAATAACATCTTTTTATGTTAGATGTTCAACCCCAATAGTCATCAAAGGAATACAAATGACAAGAGTCAGAAACCTTTTCGGACCCTGCAGATTGGCAAAGAACCATGAATACTCACTGTTGGCTCAGGTCTATAGATTGATACAAAGTTTCTGGAGGATGGATTTGGCAAGTATGTATCATAGGGCTTAAAATTGTACACACCTTTTAGCCCAACTTAATTTCAGTTCAATGAATTTCATCTCTAGGAGATCACTGACAAGTGCACAAAGATGTGTTTATGAGGATGTATCTAATTTTGAAAACTGGAGACCAACTAGGTAGGACTTGGCTCTGCTATGAAACATGAATAGAATGGAATCCATTCAACCACTAAAAAGGAGAAAGTAGGGATGCCTGGGTGGCTCAGTCTGTTAAGTGTCTGCCTTCGGCTCAGGTCATGATCCCAGGGTCCCGGGATCGAGTCCCGCATTGGACTCCTTGCTCAGCGGGGAGACTGCTTCTCCCTCTGCTGCTCCCCCTGCTTGTGCTCTCCCTCTCTCTCTCTGTGTCAAACTAATAAATAAATAAATAAATAAATAAATAAATAAATAAATAAATAAATAAATAAAATGTTTATGTGTCAAATTAAAAAAAAAAAAGGAGAAAGTAGCCCTCTATGGCAGTGGTTCCCAAACTTTAGCAGGAAGAGGAATCACCTAGAGCAGAGGTGATGGGCAAAGTTTTTTGGAAAGACTTTGCCCACCATCTGTCTCTGTTGCAACTGCTCATCTCCGTCAGTATAGCGTGGAAACAGCCCTGGACAGCATAACTGGGTTTTGTCAAACTCCATTTGCAAAAAAACAGGTAGCAGGATGAATTTGGCCCTTGAGCTGAGTGTTTGCCAACCCCTGACCCAGAGTTGAAATTCAGATCTTGTAGTTTCTGATTGACTAGGTCCGAGATGGGGCCTGAGAATTTACATTTCTACCAAGTTCCTGGATCATGCAGATGCTGTTGGTCCTGAAATGACTCTCAGCAAATCACTGCCTTTTGTGCTGGCTTGGGAAATGGCGGTGATCTTTTAGTTTCAAAAAGGTTAGCAAACATCCTGTGTGCTAATATTTTTGTACCTGCTTGTAGTCACTCCTTGGAGCCCCGCTCCCTCACTCACATCTTTGCCACGCCCTCTCCTCGCCCCCATAACTCAATCTTTGAGAGGTTCAAGAATGTCAAGTGCGGAAAATGTTTCTTGGAAGAGGACCCTCCTCCGCCCCCCCATCAAGAGTTCCAGGGGATGGGAGAAGAGAGGAAAAGAAGTGAGAGAGATTGGAGTGGGGGGCATCAGAGGCCAGGGGAGGGGGGAGGCCACTGGGGTCCCCAAAACTGGACTTCTTGAGACCTAAACAGTTTGGAAGATGTGACTCTGGGGGAGTCACAGCTCTGAGTCTCTAAGATCTTGTTGGGTTGGGGTGTGGGAGTCGCATGTCTGGAGACCCCAGTACCAGATCATCAGAGCTCAGGGTGGGATCTGTGGGGGCCTCCCAAAATTTGCCTGGAGAGGAGAGAGAAGGAGTCGTCCCAATCGAGGGTCTCCGGGTTGGAGGACCTTGGACTGAAAGGGCTGCCCTCTTAGGACCTATCAGGGTAGAAGCCCTTTTGGGGTGAGAGCCACGTGTGGAGATCTGCGAACCCAAGAGATAGGAGTCATGGCTCCTGGGGTGCCAGGCTTGGGAATCACTGAACTGGGGGGCCCCCAGACTTAAAGGGCAAGAGGGGGAGAGTCCGTCCCAGGTTTGGGGTGGTGACGGGGTCCCCAGTACCGGATCAGCGAGGCCCCGGCAGGCTCCACAGTCAGCGGCGGCAGAAGCAGCAGCAGGAAAGGTAGCCGGGACATCTCTGGGGACCCCGTGTAGACCCGTCCGCCTTTTCTTCCCGCGGAGACTCCACCCTGTGCCCCGCCCACCTCCGGGGTTCGGAGGTGCCCGGGACGTGAAGGCTCTCTGTGGGTGAGGGGGGACGGGGGGCGGGAAGCGCCTGGTGTTCCTGGAGGGAATGTGTGGAGTAGTTTTGTAGGGTCGGCGGAGGTGTCAGCGCGCCTCGCTCCGACTTCAGTGGTGGGGGAGGGGCGGTCTCCTGCGGGGGGGGGAGGGGCAATCCTTCCGCTGTGGTCACTCTTAACTGTGACTTTCATTTCACTTCACTTTTCTGAGACTCATTAACCACAAGGGTTTTCTTGGGCAAGAGAAGGGAGGGCGGGTGTTTTTGAAGGGTCCGGGGGAAGGGGAAGAGGGTTAGACTAGAGGCGCTCCGGCCCATGATAAGTGGGACCCCCGACTCTTACGGGTTTATTTGGGAAATACTGAAACACACACACACCAAAAAAAAATAGCCCATAGCCCCATCACCATCGAAAGAGCATAAAAATAGTTGGCAGCATCTTTGTCTCTGAGCCTGCCCCCTTTCACATTGACTTAGTGTCTCAAATATGAAATGAGCATCAGAAAAATCCAGTTAAAATGCAGATTCCTAGGCACCACTCCCAGGGATTCTGATTCCAAAGGCCTGAGATAGAGCCCTAACAATCTGAATTTTTAGACAAGCCCACTGATCAGGGAGCCGCAAGCATTTCCGAGACTATTTGATGTTTTGATTTTCTAGCTTAGATTTACAAATCAATATCAGCTTGCACATTTTTTTAAGTAAATAAAAGCAGACTGTACTTATTGATCAGTAACTTATGTTTCTTTTTCTTCACGTAACCATATACCTCGGGCTTCAAGAAAAATTGAGAGGTGGGGCGCCTGGGTGGCTCAGTTGGTTAAGTGTCTGCTTTTGGCTCAGGTCATGATCCTGGGGTGCCGGGATCAAGCCCCACATCTGGCCTCGGTTCCCTGCTCAGCAGAAGACTGCTTCTGCCCCTCACCCCGCTCATGCTCTCGCGTGCTCTCTCTCTGAAATAAATAAAATCTTTAAGAAAAGAGAGAGAGGGACGCCTGGGTGGCTCAGATGGTTAAGCGCCTGCCTTCCGCTCAGGTCATGATCCCGGGGTCCTGGGATGGAGCCCCACATCAGGCTCCTGGCTCAGCGAGGAGCCTGCTTCTCCCTCTCCCTCTGCCTCTCCCCCTGCTCATGCTTTCTCTCTCTCTCTCTCTCTCTCTCTGTATCTCTGTGTCTCAAATGAATAAATAAAATCTTTAAAAAAGAAAAAAAGAGAGACATTTAGATGTAACGTACATATGGTAAAATGTACAAATCTTAAGTGCACAGCACTATGGCTTTATTTATTTTCCCTGACAAATTATTATGAAGATTTTTCAAGCAGGTAACAAAGTTGAAAGGATTGTATAGTAAACCCCATCACCTAACACCTAGATTCTACAATTCGCATATTTTGCTGCATTTCCTCTGTTACACATCTATCCAGCTGTCCATTCCTCTATTCGTCCAACAGCCCATCTGTTTTTATTTTATATATATTTCAAATAAGTTGCAGACATTATATTCCTCACCCCTAAACACTTAGCATTGACATCGTTAGCTTGATGGATTTTTGCATATGTATATGCTCCAGTAAACACCACCCAGATCACGATATAAGACATTTCTAGCTCCCCGGAGTGAGAAGGTTCTTTCTCACTCTCTTCCAGTTGGTGTCTCCCCAAAAGTAACTAATACCCTGACCTCTATGACCACAAGTTAGTTTTGCCTGTTTTTGAATGTTACATAAAATGAAGCACATGAATACTCCCTTTGTGCCCGGTTTTATTACTCAGTTTTATGTCCTTGAATATCTTTAAAAACCAGGTGGGGTACTTGACTGGCTCCATCAGTAGAATATGCAACTCTGGATCTCGGGGTTGTAAGTTCAAGCCCCATGTGAGATGTAGAGATTACTTAAAAAAGTAAAATCTTAAAAAAAAAATCAGAGCATATAGATTTACTTCATTCTTTTTTCTCAAGCCCTTAATTATGAAAAATCTCAGACATACAGCAAAATGGAAAAATTTTTACAGTGAACATGCAGATACCCACCACCTAGATTCTACCATTGCTATATTTGCTTGATCATATTTCTTTTTTTTTTTAGAAGATTTTATTTATTTATTTGACAGAGAGAGCGAGAGAGCACAAGCTGGGGGAGAGGCAGAGGGAGAGGGAGAAGCAGACTCCCTGCCGAGCAGGGGGCCGTATGCAGGCTTGATCCCAGTACCCTGGGATCATGACCTGAGCCAAAGGAAGATGCTCAACGGACTAAAGCACCCAGGCGCCCCTTGGTCACATTTCTATCCGTCTCTCCATCTCTTTGTCTAAGTGGTTCTCGACTGGGGAGCTCTTTTCCCTACAGGGACATTTGGCATCATCTGGGGATGTTTTGGCAGTCACGACTGGGGTGGGGGTATACTGGCATCTAGTGGGTAGTGGCTAAGGAAGCTGCTAAGCATACTACAAAGCACAGGACAGCCCCCCCCCAACAAAGAATTGCTTGGCCCCAAACGTCAGCAGTGCACTATTCTGTCTATTCCTCAATCCATCTGATTGTCTTGCTTTCCAGGTAAGTGGTGGGCATCAGTATCCTTTGCCCCTTCTACTCAGCATATCTCATTCTTCAAACAGCTACATTGTATTCCAGGGGCGCCTGGCTGGGTCAGTCGGGAAAGCCTGGGACTCTTGCTCTCAGGGTCCTGAGTTCAAGCCCCATATTGGGTGTGGAGAGTACTAAAACAAACTTAAAAAAAAAAAGCCACATGATATTCCAGAATATAAATGTAACACTATATAATCCTTGCCCTAGGTTAGTTATTCTCCTTTTTCAATATTATAAACAATTTATTTTATAAATAAAATAAAATCTTAAAAAAAAACCCAACTAAATCTTTAAGACTCATTATAACAAGTCCTGTGCCAATCCTTCTCCCATTTTTTTCCTTCCAAGAGGCAACCACTTTCATTTCTTTTCTTTTCTTTATTTTTTTAAGATTTTATTTATTTGACAGAGAGACACAGCGAGAGAGGGAACACAAGCAGGGGGAGTGGGAGAGGGAGAAGCAGGTTTCCTGCGGAGCAGAGAGCCCGATGTGGGGCTCGATCCCAGGACCCTGGGATCATGACCCGAGCCGAAGGCAGACGCTTAACGACTGAGCCACCCAGGCGCCCCATTTTCATTTCTTTTACCTAATAAATGTGCCATCGTTTCCACATCTCTAAGCACAGTTATGTTGCTACTTCTTGCTTTGTCGGTTTTAGGCATTATCCTCTGTTCTGCTGACTCAGAAAATCAGGATTTAGCTCCCTTTCCTCCCTCTACCCACACTTCTTACACACACTCTCCCCTTTCCTGTTTAATACGGTTATGTAATTATTTTGGTTAGATCAATACCAAGTATTGGGGCTCCTGGATGGGGTTACAAAGTGGGGGGAGGGGATCTCAGGCAGAGAAGTGGGTCTAAGAGCCCCAAGTTTCAGGACGTATTCTCAACAGCACCTTGAGGAAGCGTGGGCATTTGGTGAAGGGAATCCTAAGCGAACAACAGGTCAAGGGGTGTACAAATAATGATGCAAGAGAGAGAAGGAAACATTGCAAGAGGGAAAGTCTTGAGTAGGGAGAGGGAAGGGATTCAGAGCCCAAGTGGAGGGATTGGCCCTTATGGATGGTCCAAACATGGTCATGGGAGGGCCAGCAGTGTATGTACCTCTGTATGTGAGCTAGCAGTGTCCCTGGGGTAAGCATAAGGAAGTTTTCTTCTGGCGGCTTCTATTTTTTCAGCAAAAGAAGAAGTGAGAATGAAGGGGGGAGGGGCGCTGGAGGTTTTGAGAGAGAAGGTGAGAACATGATTGCTTAGAGGATGCAGAACAGAGCCAGAGAGGCCTTGCAGATCGGTTCTCAATGTTCACTTGAGCTCTGCCGTCACACAGCTCAACTATGTCCACTCACAAGCTCAGCTGGGTGGGAGCAGGTACAGAAAAGGCAGAGTCCATTTTAACCAGGGTTGGGGTTTGGCCAGGCAGGTGTGAGCGAGGGAGAAAGAGCAAGGAAGGTAATGTAATGTGTGCAAGGACGTGACTGTGGTGCTTGCCCACAGCATCTAAGAAAGGGAGAGAGGACATGAGAGGAGGTGAGGCAATAGAGAAAAAAAGGGTAGGACCAAAGGATCAGAGGTACCAATGGCATCATGGAATCGAAAGGCCCTTTATGCGGCGCCTGGGTGGCTCAGTTGGTTAAGCATCTGAAGAGCTCAGGTCATGATCCCAGGATCCTGGAATTGAGCCCCGCATTAAGGCTCCCTGCTCAGTGGGGAGTCTGCTTCACCCTCAGCTCCTTCCCCCGCTCATGCTCTCTCTCTCTCTCTTGCAAATAAATAAATAAATAAAATCTTAAAAAAAAAAAAAGAAATGCCCTTGATGATTTTGGCCCCATTCCCTCTCTGATATTACCTCTCCCCACTCCTCCTCTCTCATTCAATCTAGCCACATTGGCCTCCTTGTTGTTCCACAGACAAACCCAGTCATGCTCCTGCCTCAGGGCCTTTGCACAGGCTGTTCTGCCCGAGTGTTTTCCCTCCACAAAAACCTTACTCAGCCCCTCTCCTCCTTCCAATTTTTACTTAAATATCACCTTCTTAGTGAAGTCTACCCTGAGCACCCTATTGAATGTGGCAACCATCCTCTCCCCAAATTTCCAATCTCCTTTACCCTCACCTATTTTTTTTCGTAGCACTCAACCTCTGAACATTTAATTGACTCTAAGATGTCATCAGTTGTAAGCCATGCGTATCTTAGAATCAGTGATACTGCCTAAACTGGTAATTCTGTTATCACATTGAATACCTGTTTCCCCATTATAATCTAATCTCCACAAGAGCAGGGATCTTGGTTTGTTTCATTTACCACTGTGTCCCTAACACCGAGGACAGTGCCCAGCACCCAGCTAAGCCTCAAGAAAATACTTCCAACAACCCACTTTGAACACCACTGCTTTAGGGGATTTCCCTGACACGGAAGACAGAGAGTCAGTTTCTCCACAATAAATCTTACCACATCTCCCCCTCCTCTGTCTTGGCAGCTGGAATATTCAGTCTCCACCCCTCAGAATCCCCTCACCCGGATTCTGCCTCCAG